TCTGCTTTGCAGTGTTGGGCAAAGTAATTTAAAACACACGGGAACTTTGTCCCATGCATTTTATTCCAAGTGTTTGAGGCATCCTGCAAATGTAACATGACGTAAAGTGCATTAATGGAGAAACCTCAGCAAAGAAGCTCAGCCCAAGATTTCCAGCCAGTCTCTGGTGTTCTCCTTGCTGCCACGGCCAAGCCGAGGCCCCATGAGCTGCACGTGCAGAGGTGCTGAGCAGGGCCCAGCCCCCAGCGCTTCTGCGAGGCTAAATGTGGTGCCTCATCTTAAATGCGGCACCAAGTGCAGGCATCAGCCCCGTTCAGCAACCACGCTAGTTTTCACAACCCGTGCACAGTCTAACCCCCCAAAATCACGTCCCTGGTTAAGCAGCTCCTTCCACCACTGACGCTGCCGTGAGTCGCATGGACCCCCACAGCTGATCAGCATCTTCTCCATGACATGGAGAGGGAGCTTCCACATATGTTATGCTTTCTTGCCAAGGATCACGCTGAGCTTTGAAAACACAGCAGAGCTCTCTGTCACCAACTGGCACAGATCAGAAACAGATATAGGCAGGCTTAAGGATTTGCCTAAGAGCAGATGGAGGAAAGGTGAGGAACAGGTCACAGGTCTCTCGACCCCCTGACCTGCAATGACTCTTTGGAGAATACCTCCTCCCTTAAAAATGAACATGTCTCTATTAGCAATAACCTCCAGGATAGCCTTTGCTATTCGCTATGGCTTTAATCCCATGTAGAATTAAAAATTCTCCTTATCTGGGGATTTTTTGTTTTTATTTAAGTATCCTTCTGATTTGTCGCTGACCGAGTCTTCAGGGCAAGCATTCCCAAACCACCTATCAATGGTGAGAGTGATTTCAAACCACTGATGGATGCAGGAACTGACACATTTATCCCTCCCAGTTACTAAAAATGATTGAAAAGTGACACCACATCAATACTGTGATGACTTGACCTTCCAATGTGCCCCTAGGGATCATTCAGCAAATCACTGCGAGGCTGAAAACAAGCAGATTTTAGTATTGGATGCACCAAGAAAGGACAGAATAAGCACAGGCTGAGCTGACAAATATTCCAGGACTTCCAGACCAATGCGAGTATCTCCTCAAAGCAGAGATGAAACTAGTACCCCAAAATGCACTCAGCTTGTGCTCCCTGGAAAGTCATGGGCAACAAATCCAAAGATATTGGAAAACATCAGCTGATGTAGAGGCACTGCAGGGGGTGGAGAAGGGAGATGGGGGTAGCTGGCAACCCCGAGCTTTGCAGCGCTGGGCTACTCTGACCAACGACCTCTCTATTCTCCAATGAACAGATGACTCCAGCAACCATCTGGAGTCAAATTTTGGCCCGAAATTGTAGTTCACAGCTTTTGTTAGCTACCACGCAGAAGCCAGCTTGCTTTTGTGAAGAGTCAGTATAGCTACAGAACTGGCAGACCAAAAACAAACCCTCGTTTGTCACTAAAGAACGTAGGCGCCAGCAGTCACTGAGCCGTGACTATCTGCTCTGACCCCCTCAGAGCACTAATGTTGGGTGCTTTTCTACTACAGGCAAAGATAAATGGAGTGCGGTAGGAAGTTGTGCAAGAAAAAGAATGAGAAATAACTATCAATGAGCCCTGCCTCTGCCTCTGCCCTGCTGTGGGAGCCTCTTAACATCCTCTCCCTTCCTCTCTCCAAGCGGGAAGGAAGAAGAGAAAGAGCGGGAGCAGGACAGACCAAGGCAGGAAGGCATATGCTCCTGAATGTGGTCCTCCGCTTGCACATCGCAGGAGGAAGGACTCCACCACCTTCTCTTCCCATCACCTTTTCCTGAATCAGAAGCAGGGAGCCGGCTCCAAACATGAATCTCTCACCCAGTTCAGCTAAGAGTGAGGCATGTGGTCTATGCTTTCATAGAGAGAGCTGAGATAGCTTGCCGAGACCAGATATCTACCTTTTTGGTGGCTGCAGGTAAGCAAGATGAATTGAAGATGAATTGCTCCTAATGGCGAGGAAGGAGAGCAGCACCAGCAGGCCCTGCTGTGCAGGGAAATGAAAATACAGACGCTTTCAGAAAACCCATCCTCTGGAGATTAATTTGCAAACTCTCCACCTCTACAGGAAAGGATGGGAAAAACAAACACCGTTTGTAGGGCCAGCGTGACTCAAAGCCCTTGCAGCGGCAGTGAGACAGTATTCCTGCAATTATCCCAACATCGTTACCTACTCTGGCAGACAAACACGGCAGTTGGCCAAAAAAACTATTGTTCCGGATAAAGCAGCCAGAGCAACGTGACTGTACTCCATCCTTCTTGGGACAGCTCCACTAACACCGCCACAGCACACCATCATCTGCTCAAACGCACTCAGAGCGTGTGCAGGCACAGAGAGAGCGAGGGATTAGCTGGGGAAAACACAGTCTGGCTTTATCACTTGCAGGTCACACTCCCTGCAGGGAATAACCTGCAAGGAACAGCCCTGGGCTGCTCACCTAGGCAAGGTGGCTTCTGTGGACGGTCCCATTACAGTCAAGAGAACAAATTCTGCTCACTCAAATCCAGATTATACACAGGTATCAGAGCAAGAAACCATCTAGTTTTTAAATTCCCCATTTCCTCCCTCGCACAGGCTAGCGAATCCCAGGATTTTACCTCTCCCCTCCCAGCAGAGTCATCACCACCATGTCCTGCCCAGCCAAGGTCCACTCATGACACCATTGCCCAGGGTATTAAAGACACTAGAGTCCCATCAGACCCTTCCTCCCACTCTTTTAGGCTACCCAGGTTAAACCAATGTCCCCAGCCTCTGTCTAGAATTGGCCAACACCCATCTACCAAAATAATCACACACTTCAAGGGGGAAGGAGGCAGATCTGACACTCCTGGAAGCACACCACTTGGCAACTGTTCAGTCAAAACAACTTTGGTCGACCCCTGCTCTCAGAGGTCCTGCACTCCTCAGCCCTCACCTCTCACCCTTCCCAGCAGCCCTGTCTCCGGGTAAGATGCTGAGCACTGTACAGCTCAGTAGGTAAGAGAGGAATTGCTCGTTCACCTCGTTTAGGAAGCCCTTATTTATCGTTCTTGCCCATTTGTATTTCTTCGCTCCTGTACTCTGATAATGATCTGAGATACAAAAGAGGATTTACTGCTTTTTTCTATTTGTTTCTAAGCCATAACCTCTGTCAAAGCACCATAACTGCACTAACTGCTGAACAGACTGAAGATGAATTATTTTCTATAATTCTTTCCAAGCTGGGCAAGATTTGCAGCACGCGAGGCCGAAGCGTGAATTACTGCTCCGAGAAGAATCCAAGTGCGCTTGGTAAATCTTGTATTTTGATAATGATCTAGAGCCTCGTACGCGTAGAGACCCACCCGTTACCCATAAATGTATTCTAAAAGAGTATAAGAGCCAGTTCCTTCTTCCCCGCCTTGCTGAAACC